AGAGAAGGGAGCACCAAATAAAGGATGTTTGGAGGATCCTCTCAGGAGGGGAGATGCATGTCGAAAGTAGACTATGGACTGAACATGTTTGCCACTCAATGCCTCTTTTGCAGACCACAACACCCAAAAGGAGAGAGAGAACACAGGACATTGCCCTGCCACAGAGACAGGGGGGATGGGGGGATGGGGGTGGGAGGGATATTATCCATGGTGGTGGAAAATGGGCACTGGTGGAGGGATGGGTATCTGATCATTGTATAATTGAAACCAAAGCACAAAAAATTGTAAATCTACAACTGTAAAAAAAAAATAAAATAAAATAAAGGGAAAAAAAAACCTTGTCTTCCATTACATCTTAGAATGTTTTGTTTATTCATAGTATCCACTATATGCTCCTGTCATATGATTTACCTCTGTAAGTTAATTTTGTAAGTCAAGATGTGGTTTAGTGGTAGAGCATTTGCTTGCATGTGTGAAATCCTGGGGTTGAGTTCCAGTACCAACACACAAGAAAAGTTAAATTCACTTAGCATTTTTTCCTAAATAACAAATTTTTATTGCTTAAGCAGTAACAAATATAACAATTGCAAAAAAAAAAAAAACCAAGAGAAGTATAAAGAAATAAAAGTTTCTCAATAGGTTTCTAATTTTGAATATTGATCAAAAAGCCAAAAATCTTTAACTTTTTTGAAATGCCCTATAGGGCTGGGAGGAATAGCTCAGTGGCATAGAACTCATTCATGCCTTGCAAGTCTCAGGTCCCGAGTACAACCCTTGTTGCCTGCCTCCTGATGCCAGAAACACGATCTAGCAGCTCTGCTGTCTGGGACCTGGGAGCTGTAATTTCCTTTTTCATATTCAAGGCTATACCTGGAGGATCTCGGGGCTATACCCCCAACCTCCTCTGCATTGCAGCGTGCAGGGTTCTCTCTTGGTTGTGCTCAGGGGACCTTTTGGATTCAAGTAATCATCAAACCTGAGTCAGCTTCATGCAATGTGCTCAGCCCATTGATCTGTCTCTCTGGTCTAACATTGCATGCTTGTTATTAGTTTCCATGGGTCAGGGTCCAGGAACTAATTGGTTGTAATCCTCTGTTCAGTGTATCACCAGGCTAGCAGTTGGCCAGTCTGAGTTTTAACTGGGGAGAGAGGTTTAATTGAGGAAGAATCTGCTTCCAGACTCATTCAAGTTGTTAAGTGGAGTTCTTTGTAGTTGTAGAACTGAAGGCCCTTTTTTTTCCCCTGGTTGTCAGCTTAAGGCTATTCACAAGTCCTATATGGCTGATTCTATCCTGAAGGCAGGTAAAAATGCAAGTTACAAAACAGAATGTAAACAATGAAACATTGTGCTATTTTCTAACAGGTAAAGAAAGTCATAGTTCCTACCTGCACTCAAGGAGAAGAGGTTACACAAAGCTTTCACTTCTTCATCTAAACTGCAGATCGGGGCTGGAGAGATAGTACAGCCCAGCCAATAGGGCACTTGCTTTGCATGCAGCCAAACTGGGTTAAATCCCTGGTACCCCAGATGGTCCTGTATGCACTGCCAGGAGTAATTTCTGAGTGCAGAGACAAAAATAACCCCTGAGCATCGCCAGGTATGGCCCCTAAAGCAAAAACATATAAATAAGATAAACTGCAAATAATATTATTTTTTTTTTTTTGCTTTTTTTGGGTCATACCCGGCAATGCACAGGAGTTACTCCTGGTTCATGCACTCAGGAATTACTCTTGGCGGTGCTCAGGGGACCATATGGGATGCTGGGGATCGAACCTAGGTTTGCTGCGTGCAAGGCAAACGCTCTACCCGCTGTGCTATTGCTCCAGCCCCTAATATTTCTTATATTGAGAAAGGTTGTGAATGTTCTTCCAACAAGAAGAAAAAAAATTTAAAGAAAATTTAGTCAACAATCCTATTTACAGACAAGTAGCTGAGACTTTAAGAGTAAATACTTTTTCTAAATTAGTTATTTTTTTAATTCCTTCCTTCCTTCCTTCCTTCCTTTCTTCCCCCCCTCCCTTATTCTTTCTTTCTCCACAGGTACCCAGGAGTTACTCTTGCCTCTGAGCTCAGGAATTACTCCTGCTGGGCTTAGGGATCAAATGAAGTGCTGGGGATCAAAATCAGGTTGACTTTGTACAAGGAAAGAACCCTACCCACCCTACAATCACTTAAGCACCTAGCACATTTTCTATACACAAGATGGTTATGAAGTATCTTAATTTTAAATATTTCATTGTAGTCTTTTCGTTGAGGGACCACACAGGCAGCGTTCAGTGGTTACTCCCAATCCAATGCTCAGAGGTCACCACTGACAGAGCTGGGGAGTCTATATGTGGCACTGGGTATTGAACCCAGGCCTGCTTGCAAAGCATTGCACTCCAATCTGTTGTGCTATCTCTCTGTCCCATTTTAATCTTTTTTTTTTTTGCTTTTTTTTGGGGGGAGGGTGTCACACCTGGCGATGCACAAGGGTTACTCCTGGCTCTGCACTCAGGAATTACTCCTGGCGCTGCTCAGGAGACCATATGGGCTGCTGGGAATCGAATCCGGGTTGGCTGCGTGCAAGGCAAATGCTCTACCCGCTGTGCTATTGCTCCAGCCCCCCCCCATTTTAATCTTAAGCAAGATGAAATATACATGTATTGATTGGTGAGCAGGGCAAGGAGGAAGGTGCAAGCATTAATGAGGATGGTACCTGTGGATTGCCAAATTTGGCAACTAGCATGTGCATTTATTATACATAGATATAAAAGCCAATGATTTAAGCTCAGAAGAAATTAGCAGTACAATGTTTCTGTTTTGTTTTGTTTTGTTTGGGGGCCACACTTGGTGGTACTCAGGAGTTACTCCTTGCTCAGCTGAGGAATAACTCTTGGTGGTGCTCAGAAGACTATATGGGTTGCATGGATAGAACATGTGTTAGCCACGTGCAAAAAACCACTACCTACTGTACTATCACTCTGGACCCACACATACAATATTTTATTTAATCATTCCAACAACTATATAAAGTAGAAATTATTATTCCATAGATTTTAAGAGGTTGGAAAGATTGTACAGTGGGTAGGCGCTTGCCTTGGAGATGGTTGATCAGGGCTTGATCCCCAGAATCCTATATGGTCCCCCAAGCATCGCCAGGAGTAATTCCTGAGTGCAGAGGCAGCAGTAAGTCCTGAGCACAGCCAGGTATGTACCCCAAAACAAAAAACAAATTAATTAATAAAAAATAGGGGCTGGATGGGGCTGGAGAGATAGCACAGCGGGTAGGGCGTTTGCCTTGCACGCGGCCGACCCGGGTTCGATTCCCAGCATCCCATATGGTCCCCTGAGCACCACCAGAAGTAACTCCTAAGTGCAGAGCCAGGAGTAACCCCTGTGCATCGCCCGGTGTGACCCAAAAAGCAAATATATATATATATATATATATATATATATAGGGGCTGGTGACATAATGCAGTGTAGGGTGCTTGCCTTGCACAAGGCTGATTCAGGTGTGATTCCCAACACCATAGACAGTCCCCCAAGCCCTTCCAGGAGTGATCCCTGAGTATGTGGTCAGAAGTCTTGAATACAGCTGCATATGACCCCCAAAATAAAAATGATTAAATATAAGGCAGCAACAGTGAAGGTAACTGAATTCTTCTCCTTCTCCTTCTCCTTCTCCCTCTCCTTTTTTTTTTTTTTTTTTTTTTTTGGTGGGTTCTGGGGCCACACCCAGCAATGCTCAGGGGTTACTCCTGGCTCTGCACTGAGGAATCACTCCTGGTGGTACTCAGGGGACTGTATGGGATTTTCTGGATCAAACCTGCTGTAGTATCACTCAGGCCCCAGGTAACTGATTTATTCTAATTCTAATTTGTATCAGTGCAATCCAAGGGGCAGGGGGAGGGTGGTTTGGGGTGATTTGGGCCATGCCCAAGGAATAGTCCTTTGCTCCATATGGGGAACCATATGTGTGCCAGGATGATTTGGGTTGGCAGCATGCAGTGCAATTGCCTCAAGCTCTCCTATTCCATAATCCTTTGTAATCTTATAAGAAAGTGTGTGTGTGTGTGTGTGTGTGTGTGTGTGTGTGTGTAGGGGGAGGGGAGTGGATTTGGGGCACACAGGGAAGTGCTCAGGGCTTACTCCTGGCTTTGTGTTTAGGGAACCATATGCAGTGCTGGGGATTAAACCCAGGCTGACCACGTGCAAGGCAAATGCCTTACTCCTTGCACCATCTCTTCAGGCCCCCTCTAGGGCTTGCCCTTTACAATTTTTGCCATTTGAAGTCTGGCCTTCCCTTGTAACTCTTGGTGTTGTGAGTTCATAGTAAAAGATTCCTAAACCTAACCCTTTCGATACCTTTAAGTATATGCTGCTACAAATCAGCTTAGGTTTCTTGTCTGTTACATTAGGTACATACCATCTGTCTAAATTCAAAGCATCAAAAACCACAAACAGGCTTTAAAATGTTTTGAATCCCAGTTCCCGCTCTTGAATCGTTTATTTCGGCAACTGCTTCTCATTTAGGGCATATTTAGCAACTAAAAAGGTTTACAGGGATATTAAAGTCAAGTAGGAATATCCAGACTATTGAATGTTTCTAAAATGTTTTCACTGTGGACAGTCTAGTGGAGCAACAGAACTTCCAGAACGTGGGATCCTTTCAGTAGGTAAGGACGTACTGCATTTTCCTAAGATATCTTTAACTCCCCAAAGCCCTGAGAGCAGAGCATACTTCCCGGGTACGAGAAACCCCAAATTTACGGGAAGCATAAACGGAGACCCGTAGCTGGCGGCAATCACTCAAGGTCACGCGGCGGCGGCGAGCCCCGAGACCTAGACGCGCCCCGCAAGGCCCATTTCCTTCTGGGCAGTCGTTGCCCGCGCCCTCTCCACTCTGGGGGTTCACCTAGGTTGCGCGCGAGCAGGTCGCGAGCTGCTGGAGCGCCCGCGGGGTGGCGTGCCCGGGAACCGCGCCTCTGGAACGTTCCGGAGTGGCTGGCGGCAGGGGCGGCTCCGGAGAAGGCGGGGCGGAGCCGGGGGCGTCCGGGGGGCCGGGCTACGCCTCCCGGGGCCGCTCGGCCGCACCCGTCGGCGGAAGCCGCGCTCGCTCGCGCAGGATCGGCGCCGGGAGCGGGGTCCGCGGGCCGGTAGAGCCGCGGGCCTGGGGCTGCGCGCGGTGCCGCTCGCCGGGGCCGGCCGCCTGCCGCAGGACGCGAGCGTCGCGCCCCCGGGGCCATGCAGCGCTTGGCCATGGACCTGCGGATGCTGTCCCGGGAGCTCTCCCTGTACCTGGAGCACCAAGTGCGCGTTGGCTTCTTCGGCTCGGGCGTGGGGCTGTCCCTGATCCTGGGCTTCAGCGTGGCGTACGCCTGCTACTACCTGAGTAGCATCGCCAAGGTGAGCGCGGCGCGGGGGGTGGCGCGGGGGCTCTGCCGGGAGCGACTGCAGCGCGCCGAGCCGGAGGCAGAGGCGGGTGACCGCGGCGGGCACCGGGCGGGCTGGCCGCACCCGGGGCTTGGCCCTTTCCCCCGCATCCGATGGACGCCCTTTGAGCGCGCCTGGCCTCCCGCCGGGGCTCAGGCCGGCGGCGCAGACCCGCCGACCTCTGTGCCCGCGGCGCCAACCTGTCACTGCCCGCTGGCCAGCGCGGCCGCGCTCTTTGCTCGACGGTGCGGGTAGCACTTCTGCCAAGGACTCCCTCATCACAACTCTCCTTTTCCTCTCTCTCTCGAGGCTTGCAATAAGCCGCCTTCTAAAGCTCGTTGTGCTCCTGAATTGCTCGCGTCAGGGTTCCAGGGGATGTCATCTCCGGGGGTGGGGAGGTGGCGCGCAGGGGACCGAGTCCGCGCTACCGTGTGGCGTACTGTCCGCAGACACTTTGCACTAGTCTGGATTCTTCACTCAAAGCGCCTTTCCCACCCCTTACTCCGCTACAGAAGCCCCAGCTGGTGACCGGGGGTGAGAGTTTCAGCCGCTTCCTTCAGCATCACTGCCCAGTGGTGACAGAAACGTACTACCCGACGGTCTGGTGCTGGGAGAGTCGAGGACAGACCCTGCTGAGACCTTTTATCACTTCCAAGCCCCCGGTGCAGTACAGGAAGTAAGTGAATTTCTATCTGCCGGCATTTCTTCAGAATACAGATTTGTGCATGCCCCCTCTGCTTGGTTACTAGAATCTCCAATTTAGCAGGTATCTAGAATAAAGACGTGGGCAACTAAAGTGGAAGGTATCCCCGGGCCCCACACCTAGCTGCAGGGAAGTATTTAAGTATTGATTTCCACCGGTCCCTCACCATTCTTGCCCTGCTGTAAATTAGTGAACGGACTGTTTGGGGGTACAGTTTTCCCACTTTCCAGTTCGCCATGCATCTGCCCCTTGATGATGTGCCCAATTCACTTAAGGAGGGGTGGTGGAAAGGACTCCAGTTAATTGAGATTTTTGTGTGATGCCCTCTGTAAGAGGATTTCATATTGATTCGCTAGTGTGTTTCTAACTGCCCTTGAGATGTTCAAAGTATGGGTCAGAATTTATCAGTAACCTGAAGATTTAAATGGTGCCTGTTATTAATTTCCCTGAGTCATCTAGTCCTTCTGGAATTCCTTTTGTTGTCTGAAACTTGCACGGCTTGTTTGAGAAAATTCTTTGAGTTCATAAGATAATATGTGGAAAGTACTTTAAAACATTTGGGGAGCAAATTTTATAGCATAGTCTATGGGGAAACTGAATTATTGAATCAGAGCTTGAGCAGTGATCAGAGCAGCTTTTCACTTATTCACAATTCTCTGTGGAATTATTCGGGTGACCTCAATCAAATAGGGGTTAAATGCTGGAGACTTAGGAGTAATAAAGAGATGATTAAGATAAATATTTGAAGTACTTTGCAATTCAGTTATTAGAGACTGTCTTTCACAGAGTTGCTGGAAATACCTTATGGTACTAGTCTCCATAACATTTTTATAATGAAAATGATAAGTGCATGTATTAGAAAACACTGAAAAGTTATTTTAGATAATCAAATAATGTCATATTTATAGAATTAAGACACTGATATTAGGGATGATGTGAAATGAGTAATGTCTTGAATTATTTCTTTCAGTGAACTTATTAAAACTGCAGATGGAGGACAGATTTCACTAGACTGGTTTGATAATGCCAGCAGTAAGAGATATATGGATGTCAGCACTAGGCCTACTATCTTATTATTGCCTGGCCTCACTGGAACAAGCAAGGAATCATATATCCTTCACATGATCCATCTTAGTGAAGAACTGGGATACAGGTACTAGTAAAATATTTTGTTTTCTCACTTAATTTATTATAAATGAAGCACAATTATGTTTGCATTTGTTTTAGAAATACTTGTCACTTCCCTTTTGGATTAATCAATCCCTTTAAATGATTATTTTTCTCTGCTTCCTCCTTTATTTTCCCAGGAAGATGCATAATTGAATCATCATATAGGAAATAGCAGTATAGTAAGTGCTCAGCAAATTTCAATGGAAGAAATGAATTAAATTAATATTACCTAGATATTGACCAAAGAATCCAATCTGAGAAGCAGTGAACCCTACTGGAGGGAGTTCTGTGAAGAATAGAAATTACTGCTGGCAAGAGAGTACATAGTGGCCTTAATGTCACGCTTTACATTCAGGGACTGGATCTATTTTGCTTCATTGGCTTAGATCCCAACAGTAAAACTGCCCAGATGACCCAGATGACCTAGGCTGGTAGATCATCCTTATTTTTCCAAAGGTGAACTATGCCTCTTCTAGTCACCTGAATTTGCAGGTGCAAAAGGCAAGAGATGATACAATAGCTTTTTAGAGTAATCATTATTCAACTCTGTCACCTGGAACAATTTAGTTTTCCCAAATGACTTAGCAACAATTCTAGAAACTTAAGCTAGAAACATTGTGAAAGGTACTGCTTTTTTGTGCCTTGGTCATTATAGCTGATGCTGATATGCATTTAAAAATGGCATTGTATTTTTTGTTGAATTTGAAAAACTTGTTTGGAGGAAAAATTGATATTGAGTTACATTAACTAAAACTTTATGGGGTCAAAGAAATAGTACAGTAAGTAGGGTGCTTGCCTTGCATGTGACTGGCATGCTTTTTAATATGGCAATTTTAACAGATTAACTTTGATATTTTTTAGGTAAGGCCTATTTCAGTCTCAGAAGCTATAATCTGTTTTTCCAGAATTATGGTACCAATATATTTGTACTACACAGAATAGAATTCATAGTTTTTATATAGTTAAATACCATTTATTTGTGTTTAACTATGAAATAGGCTTGCTTTCAATTTTTTTGTAACTTAGGATCAGAAAGTTTGTATCATAAAGCCTTTCATATATTCTTAAATTTCAAATATTCTTAAATTAAAAGATTCTTTACTTGCTTTTCTAATTCTATACTTGGGAACTGCTTCTCAAGACTTAGGAAGTGTTTTCCAAAGCACTGTTGAAATTCAGAGTTTGAATCTTATTGTTGTCAGAAGGCATGGCCTTCTTCCTACTGTTAGTTGTCCAATTTTATTTCCAAAGCTGTTTTTATACTATGTTCCAAAGCTACTAGCTGGTCCTAGATTCCATAGGGGTTAAAAGTGTTTTCTTGACCAAAACTGTCATTGAAACAGTATGAAAAGAGGAAGGCTGTATGTGAAGGACTGTGTGAAGTCACAGTCATGAGAAGCTAAAGCAGGTCACTGGTCGCCACTGGACTACTCACCTTATTTGGTTTTAGGGAACACAAACACTGAATCAGACTGACTGTAATTGTGTGGATAAGCAAAGATCAATACAGTTTTTAGTTGTCTTCCTGTCTATTTCTCTTTGTTTCAACTGTAAGAAATTTCAGCACCCACGTTGGAAAGGTTAGTTAGGTTTTGCTGTATAACAAACTATACCAAAACATAGTGGAACGAGCTATCCCAAAACTGTGTAACAAACTATCCCAAAACATAATGAGAACAACTGTTCTGCTCATAGATCTGTTGGTCAGCAGTTTGCACTCAGCTCAGCTAGGGTTCTGGCTGGGATCGTGGGTGCCTTTGTGGTCAGTGGCAAGGACAGCTCTGTGTCTGGGAGCCTATAGGAGAAATGACATTTCCACGGAGTCTCTCACCCACCATTGGGCTCTCCTAGACTTCTTCATTTGGTGGTAAAGGGTTTCAGGATTGTGGAAGCAAAAGCTTCAAGGCCAGGACTGGAGGGATACTGCAACAGTGATAAGGCATCAAGGCAGTGATATTTGCTTTGCATGCGCCTGACGGGGGTTCAATTCCAGGCACCTCATAACGTCCCCTGAGCCTGCCAGGATTGAAATCTGAGCACAGAACCAGGACTAAGCCCTGAGTATCACCAGTTGTGACCCCCAAAACCAAAGGACAAAAGCTTCAAGGCCTCTTGAGGCAGAAGTGGAGACTAGTGTTGTTTCTGTAGAATTCTAGTCAAAGCTAGTCACTCGTGGGCCAGAGTGAACTATACAGAAATAGATTCCACCTCTTCATAGAGAGAGCTAGCTACAAAATATTTCCCACAGATAGCAAAGTTGTTTCAAAACCCACTGAGGTTTAAAAAAATAAAAGATCTAATGCTTTGGTACAAGTCTGCGTTGATGACTAAAAAGATACAAGTCATGGATACTGTAATTTATGGTCTTGTATCTAACAGTTTGGGAAAGATTGTAGAACACAGGGGAGTGTGCATGACCTTTAGAGCCAGACCTGTTGGAACTGCCACTTCCTCTGACAAATAAGTTTTTAACAGAGGCACAACCAGCAGTGCTGGCAATTGGGGGGCTCTGGGGCCACTCCCAGCAGAACTCCACCAATGGGATCATATTGGCACGCCGAGGGCCACATGTTCATCAGTAACTGGTGGGTTGCAAGGGGCATGCAATGCTGGGGACCAAACTCAGGGCCTTCTATATGTCTCTGACATTTGACCTATCCTTCTGGCCTTGGAAAATAGATTATTTTTTGGTACCAGGGATTGACCCAGGGTCTCACACATACAAGGCAAACACTCTACCATGGAGCCATATCCCTGATTATATGACAATTAATTTTGAGGGGAGGAACCTCTCAAGTAGTGCGTGTAGAGCCCAAGGGCCCTACCAGTGATTATCAACCAACCAATGCAAGATCCAGGATGCATTGCTGCTTGGTCCCTTCTGTACTGGGGATTATCTGGGTCACCAGGGCTCTATACAACGTGATGCTCAGGGAACTACATGGTACCAAGATGGAACCAGGGTTGGCTCCATACAAGGCAAGTACGTTACTCGCTGTACTATCTCTCTGGCCCTACCATTTTTATTGAGAGACTACATCTACTATTTTATTTCACTCCCAACTCATACTAAAGAGTGACCTCTCCAGAATTATGTAATAATAAGTTCATTAAAATCTAGGTTAGTCATTAATTATTTCAGTACTGTAAAGTACAGTATCAGAACCTATATTCCCAAAGAGCTTATGGTCTATTAGAAAGGGCCAGGATTGACTGTGAGTTACAAAACTAAAACGGACTTAAACAAGATACAAGCTTAGTTCTCTCTAGAGTAAAGATCCAAGAAGGTCGACCTCAACTTGTTTGTTTCTTCGGCGGGGTGGCACACCTGATGATGTTTAGGGGTTACTCTTGGCTCTGCACTCAGTAATCACTCATGGCAGTGCTCAGGGAACCACACAGGATGCTGGGGATTGAACCAGCACAGGACCCGTGCAAGGCAAGTGCTTTATCTGCTGTATGATCTCTCCAGCTCCAACTAACCACAAGAGATTACTAGTTTCTTGTATACTGCCAAGAAACTAATAATCTTTCTATGTTACAGTTTCACCATGCACCACTGCATTAGCACCAGCTATCACATCTGCATTCCCATACCCAGCAAGAAGTAAAAAGAATGTCCCTCTTCCTTTAATAATGCTTTCCTGTAATTGTGCATGCCACTTTCGTTTTTGTGCACTTGGAGACCCCAAGCACTCCTAGGTTGGAGCACTACCAGGAATACTCTGGATCCCAGAGCACGGGGAACTGTGGCCTCTATTTGGGGGGACAAAGGGGGAAAAACATGAGTCTAGAGATATAGCTTAATGGTAAGGTGCATTAATTTATGAGACCCTGTTTTGATCCTTGGCATCTAATTAAAAAAAATTGTTTTCATGTATTTTTGTTCTGTCCTGGGTTTTCCTCCACGGTTACAGCTGGTAGTGCCGCAGAGGACATGCAGAGCTGGGGGTCTAATTTGGATCCCCCATGCATGCCAGGCAGGTTTCTAAGAAGAATGGAAGGATGGATATTAGGGAATAAAACTGGTGACCACTAGAACTGAGTCTGTAATAACTGAAAAAAGCAAGAGAGACCTAGAGTGATAATACAGTGGTTAGGGCATTTGCCTTGCATCCGGCCAACTTGGGTTTGTTCCTCAGCACCTGATGCAGTCTCATGAGCTCTGCCAGGAGTGATCCTTGAGCCTAGAGCCAACCAGGAGTAAACCCTGAGCACTGCCGGTTGTGGCCCCAAAACAAAACAAAGTGAAAAAAGAGATATTTCATGGAGATAAGAAACAGATAAGCAGTGTTTGATGCAGTTGAAAGGACAGGAAGAAAGGGAGAAACAGCAACTTTTGAGAAGATTCAGTAGAGTAACGAGAAAGGAAGTCATACTTCTGAGGGTTCAGATGATCTCAGGAGACAAGAGCAGGAATGGATCATGTTTGTTAAGTTTGTCATTTTTTTTTGTTTTGGGGGCCACAACCAGCTGTGCTCAGTGGCTACTCTGAAGTCTGTCTGTGCTTACCTGGCAGTACTCAGGGGTGAGGTGTCAGGGATTGCAACCAGGCCCCTGCAGTCAAAGCATGTACTTAGCCCACCGAGCTTTCTCTCTGGTCCCTACTTGTTAAGTTTGGCAGAGAAAGGAAAGGAACAAAATTACTATAAGAAAGTGAATGGGTCAGTTGATTGTAGATTCATACTCTACAAAATTTCTTTTTTGGGTTAGGAGCAATCATACAGCAGGTAGGGCACTTCCTTGCACATGGCCAGTCTGGGTTCAATCTCCGGCATCTGTATGGTCCCCTGAGCACCTGCAAGAGTGATCCCTGGTCAGAGTCAGGAGTAACCCCTGAGTATTGCCTGGTGGGGACCCAAAACAAAAACCAGAAAGTTCTTTCTTGCTTCCTTTTGTTGCTTATAAAAAAAAAAAAACTCATCTTTGGGGCTGAAGCTATAGCACAGTGGGTAGGGCATTTGCCTTGCACGCGACTGATCA